TTTTTTTTTTAATGCAGTTTCTTTAGAACTTGAACCCATGACTTTCAATCTGCAGGTGAGCATCTAGCCGTTACACCATAGGGGGGGGGGGGGGGGGGGGCTCCCAATTAAAAGCTGGAAAATGTATAAATATGTTTCTAGAAAAATATTCTGGGTGTCTATATCTGATACTACAGTAAATTTTAAAAAACATTCCTGTCCTACACAGACTGCAAGCTATTCGAAGCTGGTGTATCTGTTACCAAGTGATTAGCCTGCCATGTGAAATTAACAGGCAGACAGATTGGCTGGTTCGCACCAGTGGGTGGTGAAATTATGCAGAACAAGCCAGATATGGTCGGGGCCCTGTGGGAGCAAGTGAACAATGCAGAGGCACAGATAGATCATTATGAACAAGCAAGTTAGACCTATAACCAAATTGCTACTGGCACCATCAGAATTTGAACTTTTTTTTCTGGCTGCTGAAGATGAGGATAAAGTGGTTATGAGAATGTCCCTAGTGGCTATGATGTCAGTTCTTAGTTCAACATTCAACTTTGGGTTACCAGTGCCCAACAAAAAGACAGCTAAGAATAGTACAACTGTGAACATTCAGGTCATCCCATCAGAGGGTACCTAAAGAAAGTTTATGTCAGCCTGACCACTTACACCTATACAGAACTAAAGAGGGTTGATTTAAGCCTGACTATTTAATCATGTTACCGAACTAAGGAGGGTTGATTTAAGCCTGATTATTTAATCATGTTACAGAACTAAGGAGGGTTGATTTAAGCCTGACTATTTAATCCTGTACAAAACTGGAGGGTTGATTTAAGCCTGACTATTTAATCATGTTACAGAACTAAGGAGGGTGGATTGAAGCCTGACTATTTAATCCTGTACAAAACTGGAGGGCTGATTTAAGCCTATTTAATCCTGTTACAGAACTAAGGAAGGTTGATGAAAGCCTGATTACTTAATCCTGTACAAAACTGGAGGGTTGATGTTAGCGTGGCTTCCTAATCCTGTTAAAGAACTAAAAAGGGTTGATTTAAGGCTGGCTGCCTTCACTAGTCAACTAGTCGTGAAAAATCTACAAATAGCTTGGCATTAGCTGCTTGGGAACAAACACGCCATTGAAAGATGAAAGACCTGTTGAAGGAAATGATGGTGCTTGCTTGCAACCGAACAGGACAATCATCATGTTTTGCTCATGTTGTAAGGAGATAGGGTCTGGAGAACTGAGTCCAAGAAAATCGAGTGTGTCACAAACAAAGAGAGTATGAACAACATGCAGCATTCGGGGGAAAGATGCCAACTTTTAATCCAATTGCATAGTCAGTGTGGATACTTTTTTTATTGACTACTAATGAATGGGACAGAGCACATTCCGGAATGTCCCTTGTGCAGGGATCTCATCTCTTGAATCATTCAAGAAGCCTGTCTCGATCTCACACAGTTTAAATTTAAAGTGCTTCAGCCAATTTTTATGTGTAGCAACATTTAAAAGCAGACTCATCTGATATGTTTTATTTTTTATGTGACTTACCATTTTGGGAACGTGTATCAAAAACTGTTTCTAAAGTTGGCTATTCAAAATGCGGCTCTGTCCAGATTGACCAGCTGTACTGACATTTCACTTCTTGGCTTTTATTCGTTACGAGCTCATGTAGGAATATACTATATGTTTAAATGCATGTAGAAAAGGATTAGTTATTTATTGGAAAATATGAAGAAGCCTAATTTCAGTAGTTTCCAGACCTTTACCTCCAATCAGATTCAGCTATCTTGTAGATAAAATTAAAGTCATAAAATAAGTTATTAAAAATAACCACACAAAAATACAATATTTTAGAGTCAATGAACTGAGTAACAGCACTAATGAGCAGCTGCTACAAACAATTTTGACAGAATTTGGCCTTTTTGTGAAGAAAAAAAAGGGGGTGTGAGGGGTAATGTTTTACATATATTTTTCCAACAGAAATCTGTTTTCAAACATATATATTGTCAATGATCATGTGCTAGAAGAAATGCCTCTTCATAATTGAAGATTGAGAATGATGTATCCAGGTGCCAGACTGTTTGGAAAAAAAAAAATTACGGGCAATAGATCTCACAGACTGAAACTGTTTGAAGGAATCAAAATTATGACATACTTAGCTTTTTGTCTTAATTTTTTTTTTTTTATAAACCGCAATAATTTTTTTTTTATTCATTTCAAACAAATGTCTTTTTGGTTTAGTTTATAGATTGATAACAGTTTTCATTGGCTAACTTTCTGTATTTTTTCACATTTTGCATGAGAATTCGTCTGTTATCTAAGTTCATTCTTGTCCATGTATTTTAATTTGTATGTTTGTTTTGAATAAAATTTTGCATGTGAACAATTAGAGTTGGTAAATTCACAACTTGGATTTCCAGACCTATAGTATATTTTCCAATGTGTGGGGAAAAAAACGCAATTTTTTTTTTTGAAATAAGCAAAAAATAAAAAAGATAGCTCCTTCATGTTCACAGTATATGAAAATTTCTATCCTAAAAATAAATTTTTTTTTATTTATATTCTAGTTTTATTTGGTATTCTCTATAAGTAAAAATTTATCAATATATTTATCAATCTGCAATTTTTTGTTAAATCACGCACAACTTGGTTACTGCATAAAGAGCATTTCTTGAAATTCCTTGTGCAAAACTGGATATTTTAAAGTTTTAATCTACCCATATCTACACGACACTAATTTAGGCAATATTTTGCTTTTTCAAAATGTAGAATAATATATTTATACCTACATAAATAATAACTTATAAGAAGTATGAAATATGACTTGACTATGTTAGCTCCATATTAATTTTAGGACTTCCCCCAAAACCAAACCTTTTATTGCCTATTGTGTGGTCTTTCTAGGCATTTTTATATTCAGTAGTGTGTCAGTGCTTTCTAAATGGTGCAACACATATCATTGTAAAAGTCAATGAAATGGAGTCTTTAACTCTTTTTTTTTTTCCAGTCCCTACTAGTTTTTAATTCAGCAGTGTCTATTCTATAGGTTTCGTGTCTTAGAGCAAGAATTTTTCATTTTACAGAGGTGAAAAATGCAACTTTCAGGCCACTGCCTTATAAGGTGTTAATTTAACAGAAAAATAATATATGAAAAATTAAGAACTATGTAGCCTACTAAGCAAAGAATAACTGAACAAGTCAAGTATTAAAATATGCAAAACTATCATCTTATGCACTGCATAAGTTTCAGTTTAAGTTTTTCATTAAAAAATAATAAAACTTTTCAGAGAAAATTGACAGCTAAGACAAAAATATGTGCATACTGGTAGTTATCAAGCTGTTGTGTTCATTCATAGACTATTTTTATTAACTTGTTATAAAAGAAACAAAACAAAAAAAAGAAATAACAAAATTTTACCCCAACTGTAAGTGTATGCCTAATGAAAGTTATGTGTAACAAAACAACGTTTAAACCCCAAAAAATTAGGTATGGTACCTTTTCACGCCAGAGGTGCATTGGACATTTGAGGTTAGACTAAAATTTTCATAGACCAATGGTGGTCAACACCATGCAAGCTGCCTTTACTTCCCAGAACTTTACCTGGTACCCATTTAAGGTTGGGCTGACCTGGGAGCCAAAGTCATGTTTGAAACAATCCGGCTCCAAACAGATTTGAACCTACAACTTTTGGATCAGCAGACAAGTGTCTAGCTGCTACACCATGGCAGCTCTCTGTGTGTCAAGGCATCAAGAAATGCCTATTTTGCTTGTAATCTGTGAAGAATTCTAATGCATTATGACTGCCAGTGAAGGGTCACTGGTACCTGTTTACAAGCCAGTTACTGAAGAAGGAGAGGCTAAAGTGGACCAATATAACCATTTTCTTACATCTAATAAACTAGTTGCTCTAGGACTGCAGCTAATACAGCACTGGAAACTCTGTTTTATTGCCAGATCAAACAACACTAGAATGTCGGCTACAATTTTAAATCACCCATATTCTTATACTGGCTTTTTAACTCTTTCATTACCAAGAAAATATAATTTAAATTAGTCTATCCCAAGAGATTTATTACCTAATTAATAAATAACTGAGTCAGAAACAATGAAATTATCAGATCTAGAGAGAATGAGTTTAAACAGCAGTCAGATCTGAGCAGGTTATCACAACAGCTGGGTGTGACTTTAGGTTAAGAAAATGTATAATGTTAATAAAACTCAAAATTGCCCAATGAACTGCTTAATAATAAAAGAATGAGTAGAATGCAATATAAAAAATCAGTCTGATTTATATAAAGCAAGCAGTGCCATGAAATGTATATAATTCCTATATCAGTATTCAGCAAATGAATTTGAGAACTGTTCATCAAATAGAGTTTGTCTGCAGTAACATTAAAAATCAGATAACGCTGTTCTGCTTGTTACTGCTCCCATCGGAATGGGAACTCTTTACTTGCTGCTGAAGATGGGGACAGAGTGCTTATGAGAGTGTCCCAATTGCTATTATGTCTATTCTCAATTCAGCATTTAACATTTTTTTCTGCTTTGTTTTGAAATTGCCCAAGTTAAACGAAAGTTTGAGAAGAGACTTTATTTCACTCCCTGGACCTACAGGTTGACAGATTAAAATTGATACTAAGACATGAAATGGAAAGTAAAGGTGGTGGGCTTGATCACATCATCCATTTGGTGGTTTAAAAATATTTGAGGTTAAGCTTCATTGCATAAAAAGAGGTCATTTTTTAAATATATATATATAACAGAGCATGAACTTCCATAATTGCTGCCTAGTTGCCAGGTGGCTATGTATGTCAGAAGTGAGGCCAAAACGACAAAATGTGAAATGGGTCTGCAAGCCAAAATCTTGACCCCTTGAAAAAAAAAGTTTGTACATTCCTTTGTAGCTGAAAATATAAAAAATATATGTAAAAATAATATCTCACCTAAAAACTTAAAACTTACCTTGGGTTGGTTCCTGTTTATAGTCTGTTTTGAAGAAAAGAATTTTTTTTTCTGCAGCATACCACATCAAGGGAAGGAGTGACAGATGACATCATCTTTGCAGGTGCCGGCTCTGGCTGTCGCTCTGATGATGATGATGACTGCGCTGTAGTTAGTTCTGGAAATGAGGATGAGATTATAACTGCTGTTGTTATCATCAAGAAGACGACTACCCTTCCAACAACAACTACAGTGTAAGTAATTTCATCTACTTCTTCCTTATGTTCACTGGCTGTAAACTCCAGCAGAAAGTTCTGTTTGTTTATCTGCTTCTGGACTTTGATCTTGTTCCAGAATCTGAGTTTAGCATGAACATCTCTTTTTACAGATTCTGTGCCCATCTTCTTACTGGTCGGCCTATGCTTCTCTTTCCTGGCACCATGCCTTCTGCTACTATTCATTCTAATTTGCGGCAGTGATGATATGGCAAAAATATTTCAGTTTCTGAGACAAGATACTGTTTACTAGCAAATCTTACTTGTCGTTCCTGTATTCCTATAAAATATAGGCTAATAAATTTGTGGTGGTGTTTTTAATCCTTGTTTTTATCTCACCAATTGCAAAGACAAAATAAAAAGCAAGCATTCTCTTTCATTTAAGCGATGACTGTTTGGACAATCTGGCCATCTATACCATCTCCAAGTGTCTAGAATAGACTAATTTGCAAGTAGAGTTCAGAATGCAGAGAATATCTGTCATGGTTGTCCAATACACCAAGACATGTGCTTCCAGATATAACAAAATGATGTACACCCAAAGATAAAGTTTAGCAGCTGCAACAGTTACCTGGATAAGAGAGTTTTCTCATCCTGCCAGCCTGGGATTAGATGTAGCATGACATAAAGCATAAACTGTGTAACTTAATGTGAAATTCTTAGCATTTTGTCACTGACATCAGTATTTGCTAAGTAATGACTTATAAAATCTAAGTATTATCACTTGCAGACAAGCAGAGTGCACAGGTCCTGAATGTGACCACAGCTCAAAGATGAGTTTACCACCTGGTATCTCAACATCTACAGCATCACTTGAAGGCAGCCTTGCTGGAGTCAATGAAACCAGTATCCATGATGGTGTGGGCAGCTTCGAAAGTACTGCACAACCTGGCAAGGATAAACAAAAAGCTGGTGACAAAGGGATTAACTTAGGTATTTCTTTTTTTTTTTTAATTCAGTAACAGAGTACACCTTCTCCTCAAATTACAACCATCCACACTTACAACTATCCACACTTACAACTATCCACACTTACAACCATCCACACTTACAACCATCCACACTTACAACCATCCACACTTACAACCGTCCACACTTACAACCATCCACACTTACAACCATCCACACTTACAACAATAAGAACATAGTAAATAAAGAAGAAAACTACATTGGTAAGGTAAACAAATTCTCAGAACTGATGCTGTGGAGTTCTTATGGTGTATCTTTCACACACACACACACACACACACACATATATATACATATGTATCTCTGCTATAGCTTTACCGTGACTTTGATCTTTTTCACAGTGGTCCATTGACTAATACTTCCATATCTCTCAGTCTCTGTGTATGGCATCTCTTCAGTGACCTGATTTGATCAATTTTGCTCATGTGTAAAGAAAAACAAAAAAGGCAGCAAGAATAAAATTTGTCACTTCGCTTCAGTAGCTGTGGCAGAAAAACTTTTAGGACTGCCCAACTTATGAAGATCTGTTCTGTTATATATGGCTAGAGAGTTTTATTTTCCTTGTATTTTATATTATATAATCTATCGTTTGCTTGTGTTGTGTATTATTCATTTCGGCTATCCTCCGAATAACGGTCCCAAATTATTGAGGCCCAAAATATACCCTAACAGGGCCTCAGTCACATGTAAATTGCGGACTTCAGGTGAATTAAATTGCAGACTTCCGGCAACTACCGCCACCGCCGAGAGTATCTCCTGCGCCGCAATGCACAGCGTGGAGCGGATCTTAACTAGATGGCTGGGACTCACAAGCAGCAGCTACCGCATCTCCTGCTTGCTTCCTTCACTTTATTTCCTCATGAGTCCCAGCCATCTTGTTTAGCCCCACGAGATACTCTTGGCGGTGCCCGGGAGTCGCAGGAAGTCCGCAGTTTATTGGTGACTGATGCCCTGTTCGGGTGTATTTTCGGCGTCAATAATTTTGGAATGTTATTCGGAGGATACCCTTCATTTGCTATTTTGTTGTATTCTGTATAATTTATCTGTGTTATCTGTTGAAAAGGGAACTGGTGCTGGCATGGTATAAATAAGGTATCTGAGCAGTTAAACTGGTGCTGGCATGGTATAAATAAGGTATCTGAGCAGTTAAATTGGTGCCAGCATGGTCCACATCTCAGGCCTCATAAATGAGGTATCTGTCCAGCTGACAAGAGGGAACAAAGTTCGTAATCAGGCAGTACACCAGGATCTAGAAACGCAAGCCTTCAAGTGGATCACTCCCAGTTAATGATGGTTTGGATATTTATGCAGAATGGGAGAGAATCAACCATAATGACAGTCATGGGAGGCCAAGAACCAGGAAACCAAGCCAAAAGGATGACCCATCATTCACTGCACTGGGAAGACAACATCCATAGCAGAGGGCTGGAATGGAACAAAGCCAAAAAGAAAACTGCTGATAAAGAAGTATGGCGATCTCTCTGGCAAACCCCTACACTCCACAGTAGAAGAAAAGTGACTTTGTAAAGTAACATCCAAATCACCCAATAAGTGATGATTGGTAGATCTAGCACTATATGCCTGATGTGCTAAAGGCATGAGAAGGGTCCTGTTAACCCTGGCCTGCAGATAAAGCCAGTTTTCTGACTTTAAGGGGTTTTTGATGACATGATGTTTTTGGGCAGTAGCCAGTACGGCTTAATAACAGCATAGTTGTAGATGTGCTAGGTATTTTTTTTTTTTTAGATATTATTTTGGTGGAAAATCTAAAGAAAACTTCTTTTTTCAAAGGGAAGGCAGGCAGTTATTTCTTAGCTCTGTATTTGGTGATTAGACTTAACTCTGCCAGTCCCAAGCAGTTCTTACTTCAATCACCTTATATTTCAAGGGGTGAGCTTAGAGCAATAAACACTGAAGACTAAAGGAGTTCGTAGAGACGATCTGGGACAGAAGTCATTGAACTAATAATTTAGACACAGGTCTATGATGGGAGTCAGCAGAAGATCACATTACCCTTGATGTGACTAAGAAACATTGTGGCATTGTGGACACTTTATTCAGAATGCTGATTGATGAAAACACAGACTCAAGATCTGGAGCAAGGTTCAAGTCAAGAACTTTATGAATGAACAGAACTTTCTGCCAGGGTTTTATCTGTTAATTTGCATGTCTTATGTATTATTTTATTTGTTTTTTGCCTGTCTTGTGTATTATTTTATCTGTTTGTTAACTTATTTGTGTTACTGACTTTAAATTTTTATTTTTTATTTTTTTATTGCAGGATTAATTCTGGGAATCACAGGCAGTGTCTTGGTAGCAGTAATTGTTCTATGTATTGCACTGTGCAAGCTGCGCAGTCGAGATGAAGGAACATATAAAGTCGATGAAACCCAGAATTTTTCAGCATTGCAGTCTAAAAAAGCAGGAAATGGTGCACTGGCTTCAGGGAGTGACTCAGGTGGGGGTAAAAGGGGCAAGAAAAAAGATGTGAAAGAATGGTATGTTTGATGACTTTGCCAAATAGTGCGTCTTCTTCCCAATTTGTCGCAGTTAGACTTACAAACGGTAGAATGTATATAATTGCAGGGACTGGTGCATTTCTTCAGTTGTAATATTATATGTTTTCTCCTTGTTTAACTTGACATAGCTGCTCATGAGATTGTTTAGTTTACCAAAAAAGTGCCAACTATATTTATCATTTTAAGTGTTTGACCCTCTATAGATATTTATTTAATGCTAACTGTGTTGTATGTAAAAATTTACCTTCCATTTGTATCCTGAATGTCTTGTTGGAAATTGTTGTGGTGCTGTATTTACATGATTGCAAACCAATATTTTGTCAAGGGATCAATAACACAAGTTTGTTACACTCTCATTTCACGCAGGAGTTGATAAATTTGGTAATATTGTTTGGCTGCTAAATTGACAGCACAGTGTAGTTAAATCTGGCTGCCAGATTTCTGGGTTGGCAGGTTGATATGACTAACTTACCAATGTGGTTTCTAGGGCCCTATTTAAAAAAAAAAAAAAGAGGGGGGGGGGGGTATTGATCCTCTGACCCTCTGACCCTAACCGCCATATCGTTTTCTTTTTCTTCTTTTTAGCATTAACCAACTTAAACTCCAGTGGAAAGCTCTGAATGTTCATCCATTTCAGGATTGTGGCTTTTTTCCAGGGCTTGGGTTTAAAGTGTACATCTGTTTTACAGATCTGGCTTATTGTTTTGTGCAGACTATTAATTTCTTGCCAGTGAGTCAGATTAAACACCGACATCGTAGGAAACAACTATCTTGTCCCCACTGGCCAGGTTCCCGGTAAGAAACTTTTTCTAGGATGACCACAAAAAGGTGTAGGTAGGTCTTGACCTGTGTGCAGCCAGGGCTCAGTGCACAGTCACATGTGGGTCAGCACTTCTGTATCCAAGCATGTCTCAAAGGCAACGAATTAGGAGTTTGCTGAAATTAGATGTGTTAGGTCAAAAGATACAGATATTGCAGCCTAGCTGTAAACCACAACACTAAGTGCCAACTAGCCTTTTAAGGCAAAAGAAGAAGAAGAATTTGATTAACTATTAAAAGCAAAACTACAAGAATATTACTGGTTGGTTCTTTCTCTTGTGTCCCAGTCATCACATAATACGCCTTTTTGCATTTTACATTTGGTCAGTCATAATAAATAAATCTGGTTATTGATGAAAATGATTGTCCAATGTTGGTTTACACTCAGGTAAATACAGGATACTGCGCGGTATTCAAAGTGTACAGTTAATGGCAGTAACACTGGAAAACATTGGGAATGTTCTGATGACACATTGTGCTTCATCTGTGTAATAATGATTGTAATAAAATAATGTTTACCCCACCAAAGAAGCTGTTGTAGTGTCAGATGTGGTGAAATTTTAGAAATAAAAGGGTCAACTTACTATGCCATGAAATGATCAGTCAACTTTCAAATCTCTTCGTTATTTCTCTAATAAATCTGTTACCTGTGGTGGAGAACTGCATGTATTCAGGATGAACATCATGGCATAGCTTGCCCCTGGACAGAGAGCCCAGCAGGCCCTACATTAAGACATCACTGACCATAACTCGTGGATTCTGGATGCCCATTGTGAGGAGAACAAGAATAGATCTGCTGCCTCTGGAACAAGCATGTTGTAGGAGTTAACTAATTGGGACATTCTTCGAAGTTGGAGTGCATCGGCCTGAGAGGTAAGAAACCAGGAGTCTGCGCAAATAAACAAGTCAGATTTGTTAAACGAATGTGCTTGTGACACTCACATTTGGAACAAAACTAAAGTACAAAGGTGGACGAACAACCAAAACTGTTCACTGAAGTTTACAAGAAGCCAAGAAGAAGAGGATGAGAATGTTGCCAGATATGAGCATGTGTGTGTCCTCATGCATTAAACAGTCCTCAGTATCCAGTACTAGCTATGGTTTCTTTGCTCAACCTCTGTATTCCTCTGGAAGGCCAGAATCAGCCGTTTCATTTCATATACCATCATCTCATACTGATGATACTCAACATTTTCAGTTACCAAACAGTAAAGTTCTAATATGATTTGATTTTTTTGGTATATTTGTTGGTTCTACTTCTCATGTGGTTGATTTTGTTTTTCAAAATATGTTCATTACAAGACTGGCCTCCACCAATATCCCCAACCAAATATAGTCATTACTAGATTGGCCTCCACCAATATCCCCAACCAAATATAGTAATTACTAGACTGGGCTCCATCATGATCCCCAACCAAATATAGTCATTACTAGACTGGCCTCCATCAAGATCCCCAACCAAATATAGTCATTACTAGACTGGCCTCCACCAAGATCTCCAACCAAATATAGTAATTACAAGACTGGGCTCCACATAAGATCCCAAACCAAATATGGTCATTACTAGACTGGCCTCCATCAAGATCCCCAACCAAATATGGTCATTACTAGACTGGCCTCCATCAAGATCCCAAACCAAAAAAAGTCATTACTAGACTGGCCTCCATCAAGATCCCCAACCAAATATGATCATTAGGAGACTGGCCTCCACCAAGATCTCCAACCAAATATGATCATTAGGAGACTGGCCTCCACCAAGATCTCCAACCAAATACGATCATTAGGAGACTGGCCTCCACCAAGATCTCCAACCAAATATGATCATTAGGAGACTGGCCTCCACCAAGATCTCCAACCAAATATGATCATTAGGAGACTGGCCTCCACCAAGATCTCCAACCAAATATGGTCATTACTAGACTGGCCTCCACCAAGATCCCCAACCAAATATAGTAATTACAAGACTGGGCTCCATCAAGATCCCCAACCAAATATGATCATTACTAGACTGGCCTCCATTATGATCCCCAACCAAATATAGTCATTACTAGATTGGCTTCAATCAAGATCCCCAACCAAATATGATCATTACTAGACTGGCCTCCATCAAGATCCCCAACCAAATATAGTCATTACTAGACTGGCCTCCATCATGATCCCCAACCAAATATGATCATTAGGAGTCTGGCCTCCATCATGATCCCCAACCAAATATAGTCATTACTAGACTGGCCTCCATCAAGATCCCCAACCAAATATGATCATTACTAGACTGGCCTCCATCAAGATCCCCAACCAAATATAGTCATTACTAGATTGGCTTCAATCAAGATCCCCAACCAAATATAGTCATTATTAGATTGGCTTCAATCAAGATCCCCAACCAAATATGGTCATTACTAGACTGGCCTCCACCAAGATCCCCAACCAAATATAGTCATTACTAGACTGGCCTCCATCAAGATCCCCAACCAAATATGGTCATTACTAGATTGGCTTCAATCAAGATCCCCAACCAAATATAGTCATTACTAGACTGGCCTCCACCAAGATCCCCAACCAAATATAGTAATTACAAGACTGGGCTCCATCAATATCCCCAACCAAATATGATCATTGCTAGACTGGCCTCCATTATGATCCCCAACCAAATATAGTCATTACTAGATTGGCTTCAATCAAGATCCCCAACCAAATATGGTCATTACTAGACTGGCCTCCATCAAGATCCCAAACCAAAAAAAGTAATTACTAGACTGGCCTCCACCAAGATCCCCAACCAAATATGATCATTAGGAGACTGGCCTCCACCAAGATCCCCAACCAAATTTAGTAATTACAAGACTGGGCTCCATCAAGATCCCCAACCAAATATGATCATTACTAGACTGGCCCCCATCAAGATCCCCAACCAAATATAGTCATTACGAGACTGGCCTCCATTATGATCCCCAACCAAATATAGCCATTACAAGACTGGCCTCCATTATGATCCCCAACCAAATATAGTCATTACGAGACTGGCTTCAATCAAGATCCCCAACCAAATATTGTGCTTTTCTTATTATGTTTGGTTGGCTAGAGGTAGGAAACAAATTAGCTTTAGATTTATGCAGTATAATGATAAATGTAATCCCATAATAAAGCATTGTAGAGAAGCAGGAAATTGGACAAAATTTTGTAATAATTAGCTACATTCCTTAAGGCTGTAACTGTTTTTATGACAAGGTCCATTACATCAAATTAATGTATACACATAGTTTTGTGACTAGCTCCATTATTTAAGATGATACAAAAATTATTTGGCTATTTCCATTCCTAGAGATTATTTTATATAATCTGCTTGTGACCAGTTCCATTCCCTGTGTAATTACTCCGATTACTTTACATAATAGTTATGTGAATAGCTCCAATTCTTGAAATTACTCAGATTACTTTACATAATAGTTCTGGGATTAGCTACATTCCTTTAGACTACTTTACAGTTCTGTTACTAGCTCCATTCCTAGAGATTACTCCTTTTAATTATATAGGCCAGACTGGCCACTTTCTTGTTAATGCACCCAGGAAAAAACTACACACATATATATATAAGTATGGCAATAATGTTTAATATCAGGTGCTCTTTGGAAATATTTGTATTTTGTGTGTTCGTCAGAAATATTGTTTCCTAAGGGGGAAAAAATATTCTTTGCAATTTGTATGGTGGTTTTTAAAACTACTTACTTTAAAATGGAAAGAAATTTCTTTCTGAACTACAACTACTTGAAAATGTACCTTGATTTCTTCCTTGTCAAGAAATCTATTTAATATTATGTGTTTCTTGTACCACGTAACAATTTTGAGTGCTGCCATAGCGTTAAACTATTTGTTTATGATTGAAGTTATGTATTATATTATGATTTACTTTCAAGACTGTTACAGGAAATCTGTAATAGTTTACCATGTGTATGAAAGGTGTTTCTCAACAATTTAAAAGGTGCTTGAATTGTTCTATTAACAGTTTGTAACATATTTTGAGTTTTAATGGTTCTTGCAAGTTCCAAAGTTTGCTAGTTTTGTTTTTATTTCTAAAAGCAATTGTACATAAATAAGCTCTTTTGTCTAATGTGTAACTACCTCCTTTAAGAAGTAGAAGGGATTAGCTATTTGGAGCAGTTAAAATTACAT